ATGAGGAAGTTATGCTTATCCTGAGTTGAGAAGAAAGTACAATGCTAAAATACAAATATGGTGAGTACACAATGCATAAAAGTTAAATTATGTGATGCAAGTTAATGATAATGTGATGTGTAAAAATTAGATTACACGACTAGTGTGGCCGTCATCACAAAACAAATTATAAACATGAGGAAGTCGGATATGAACCTCATTTTACTACCCACACACTCTCCGATGCTCTTTAAGGACAATTGTTGATGAACTAAGCGATGAGAAGAAGCTAGGTGCAAGTAAATTTCAAGAAATCAAGAATCTAGCACCATCACTTAATCAAAGGTAACTTCATCTTCTTTATTAAGCTAGTTTGATGTTTGTGTTGAATGGTAAAATCCTAGCTTATGTATGGAAGAAAGCTTAATTATATGCTAAAATGAGCATAGTAATCAAACTATTAGGTGTTATATGAATTCATGGCTAGTTCTTGAATTTGGAGAAGATGAAACGAAATCCTAGTTTTGGTAAAATTTGATATAAGTAAAATTGGACTTATATCTTAATGAATAAATTCATATCGAAGACTTATTTGTGAAGTGTAATTAGTTTTATCTATGAAATTTAGCTCTATAAATATGGTGTATATATTGTACCTTGAGTTATGAAACTCAAGTTAGTGAAATGATGAATAAGGTGAGATAAAGTTTATGTCTATAAATTAAGACATATAGACTACTAATTCATGGAGCTTAATAAGTTTAACTACATAATTGAGTATTATGAACTTGATGAGGCGTTCAGTCAACATATAATGTGTTGTACCTTAGGTTGTAATACTCAAATGAGTGTGTTGTGTTGAAAGAATTTGAAACAAGTGCATATGTGGAGCTTCAAGGACCAACAATTCATACATTGGAAATATTTCAAGGTGAGTAACCATACGTTTTTTCTATATAATTGATATCTAGATATGTGATGATTGTCATGTTATGTAAAGGCATAATATGTGAAGTATTGTTAAATAATGTTTTTTGTATTAACAAACTTGTGTAGCTAAGATTTATGGTAGGTTATTGTTATATGAATTAATAAAATGATGGACCAAAGATTTATAATAGGTTATAGATATATGAGTTAATAATCTGGTGCAACTGGGATTTATATCATGTTATTGATATATGAGTTAATAAGCTCTTGTAGCTTAGATTTATAGCATGTTAATACTATATGAGTGAATAAGTTGTTGTAGTTAAGGTTCATAGTTGATTATTGCTATATGAGTTACTAAATGATGTAGTATGTATATATAGTTGAAATTAATAGCTTATCATTGTTGTGTTGTGAAGTAAATTAATATAGTTGTTTATTGTTATGTAGTGTAGTGGGTTGATTTAGTTGTTTATTGCTATGTGGTGTAGAGAGCAAGCATAGCTAATAAAATATAGTTGTTTATTGTTAAAGAGTAAGATAAACCACATAACGAGAACCTTATTGTAATATCTGTTAAGTATGGTGAGTCACATAACGACAATCTTGTGGCAATAGCTATTGTTGTTAGATAAAATAATAGCTTGAATAGCTATAAAACCATTGTTAAATCTTGTTAACTAAAATAGTAAATAGAGTAGAAATAAACCCATTGTTGAGTGTTGTTAAATGATATTGGTAGCCTTGGTAGTCATAATACCATATATATATATATATATATATATATATATATATATATATATATATA